TATTGGAATTTGATATAAGAATAAAGATGCGTTAGTGTAAAGCAATCCAGCTTGCATGCCCTCCAATGTGTTTGTGGGATTTCTTCCTAGGAACCTCTCACTTATTAAACTTTACACGCATCGAGATCATGTTAATGACCGTCAATTTTTAAATTCAAAACAACATTTTCCCGTTGATTTCATCCCTTTTGTTTGAATTTTCTTAAAATCTTTTATGCCGTCGAATTTGGAATCCATCGTTCAATAAGAGTGCAAATTCTATCCGCCCCACTTCAAAACTCCGATCGTTAACAAGTATTAAACTAAATGTGATGAACCGACCACGATCTTTCAACACATTCTACGTCATTATCTGGAGCAGATTTAGCACACCAGATTGCTCGCTTTACAGAGCTCGACATGCATGAAAACGACGTTATTCATTTCAAACGCAACCGCAATGCATAGTGGCATCCTACGGGCCGCATTCACACGCACGTCCATAGAAAAAACCACGCTCCAAAGGGCGCGAGATGCTAGAGCCAAAACACGAAGAGAAAGCGATCAACAGCGTCTACATGCCACATTAGAAAAACTCGCCTGCTTTGAATTTGACTCTCTCTATCTCTCTCTCTTTATCAGAATCAGTGGGAAGGCAATCCAACACGATTGAACCAGCTCAAAAAGAGAAGGAAAAAACAAAGGGCATATGATCATTTCCCAATGATATAGATTTGAAGTTAGTGGCGAGACAAATACCTGTGAGGTTCCACTTTGACTCGCTTGCATAGGTTGCTTTCAAATCTGTTTTTGCCGTCCCGACAAGGTAAAAGAACGACGGAGGAAGAGGGTGACTCGCTGTCCTTTTGTGGCCATGCAATTCATTCGCTGCAATGGACGACCATGTATCGTTCCTTCTGCCCTGCTTGCGTGATCTCATGCTGAGACACATTTAGGTTATTTTGCAGAGATTTGATTCGAGGGTCGAGGAGTTTCGAAGCTTCGAGTGAGTGAATGAGATGACCGCATCTGGGTTGGACTGTTCTCTAAGGAATTCCCCGTTCTGGAAGTCGTTGAGAGGGAAGGAATAACGATGCCATGGTGATGAAATAGAAAGTTCAAGTGTCGACACAGATTCGGATTTGATATAGATATCTTGACTTGTTTCGGTGGATGTCTACCTAACAACCCTTGACCTCTAGACTTCGTTTCGAGGACGAAAATGAGTTATTGTACTGAGGCGACCTTTGTAGGCCTAGATGCCCTTCTTTTGATGGGGTGTGGTGATCTTTCTGGTAAGCTCGGGAACTAAACTCTTCCGTGGCAATATGTCCGGTGCGCCCGAAATAAGAACAAATGAAATCGGGTATTTCCAACTTTAAATTTCATCTATGGTGTTCGGTACGCTATTAAAGAATCGATATAATTATTCGGATGAATGTCATTAATGAAAAAGACTCGTTCATTTTGTAAAAGCAATGAATATATCTTTCGATATTCCAACCTCATTATTTCCATTCCTATATACTATGAGCTATTTTCACACAAATTTTATTTATTATATCACCTAGTTTTTCAATCATTTTTAGTTTGACTAAGCACATGTTTAATTTCACATTTCTCCTTTTACTCAATCGTTTCCAAGGTGCATTTGTTCTACTAAAAACTTCTTAATAAAAGAAAAAGGAACATTTGTTCAAGGGATAAGAATATCAGAAATCCTAAAACTTGTTGCGAAAGTGCAATTGAATTCTAAAATTTTCAAAAAGTAAAATCAAGTCATTCCGTTAAAACCGTCAATTTGGCTAACGGAAAATATTGATGTGACATTTTTTTATTTATTTTCTCTCTCTTACTTGTCATTTTTATTATTTTTCCAAATTTTATTTTAATTAAATTAAACACTACAAAAATTCTAAAATTTTATTTCAAAAAAAAAAAAACTGGGAAAAAAATAAACACATAGGGAGGGCCTCTGTGGTGGGGCATCAACGCCACCGCTGCCCATCGCTGGAGGGGCTCATGGAGGTTGTCAGCCCTAGGCGGGGGCGGCCGACTCAACCCAACCCTAAGCAAGGCTTGCCCCAATTTGGGCAATGCCGACCCTCGCTGACCCCATGAGAGGGCTAGCAACTCTAAATAGGCACGAGCGAGGGCCAGCGTCGCATAGATCTAGATGCCCTCAAACCATATCTGGTGAGCCTTGCCCCGGCATAGCAAGGGTTGCCGGCCTTCACCTAATGCTGGCAAGGACCACCTGGGACGAGTGAGGCCTTGCTTCAAATTGCCAAGTTAGCCACCCTCGCCCACGGCCGACGACCAGTAATGGGCAGCACCCACCGAAGAGGCCGCTGCTTATTTTTTTTTAGTTTAGTTTTTTTTTTCAAATATAATTTTGGCCTTTTTTAGTTTTTTCATTTTAATTTAAATAAGATTCAGAGAAGAAAATAATAAAAATTGACAAATAGAAGAGAGAAAATAATTTTTAAATGCCACGTCATCATTTTTCGCTAGCCAAATTGATTGTGTTAAGAAAAGAACTTGATTGCACTTTTTGAAAGTTTTATAATACAGTTGCGCTTTCGCGACGTGTTTTGAGATTTCTAACGCACTTATTCATTTGTTTAATGATTCAGGGAAAATGATTATCTTCTTACTAGAAAGGGAAGTCGTTTTCCTCGGTCTAATATTCTTGTTTTCAGTCTATGGGAAACGTTTTCCATGGATCAACTAATTTTCCGTCGTCCAAACACCCTAAAAGTCAGAAAATAATTTCCCGAAAAACAGTTTGCGTCCGAGCAAAACGAACCCCCCAAACTGGTTTCCATTACAGCTCCATGCAATTGCTTCGCGTGCCGGTTCACACCACATGTTAGCCCTATATTAATGTATCCGCAAATCACTCCATCGGTCTAAAATAGTCTTACGTAAAAATTCTGTCGTGCTCGTCGTTGTGGCTTTGTTTTTTCTCTATATCTGCCACCCCCCATTTATCGTAAACTCCCACACGCGCACACCAAAAAATTCAAAAAAAAAAAAATTAAAAAATCGAAAAATCGATTGTGATTTCAAAAAAAACTGAAATAAATCTTCGACAGTGTCCGTTTGCTCGGGCGAACTGGTAGTAAACATATGCCCTAAATCCGACACGAGAGAAAAAAAGAAAAAAACCGACACGAGACAAGGGGGGGGCCCACATCCACATAAGCATGATGGTCAATGATGAGAGGGGTGGTACGTGACACGTGGTGGATAGTTGCGCGTGATATCGTGGATTTGTATTCCCCGATATGCCGCAATCATTCCTGCATCTGAGGATTCTTTTGATCCCATCCCCCCCTTCCCAAAATATACATAACAAGAAAGATGAAGTGTTCTTGTCCTTAAGGTATTGGACTCTATTTCCCTCCGTCGGTCCAAAAATTCCCTTTTATTTCGTGGACAAATTAAAACTTGTAGTCCTAATCAAGCAGGTATACAAGGCGCCTAATGTTAGAGACGAAGACACGGTTGCCGGGAGATCATATGGTTTCGACATTTTTCGATTTGTCGGGGTCGTAGCAAGTCGCGTGACGAAAGGCTAACCAAGATGGATCTTGAGCCGTTGGATGTCAGGGGAGACATCTTTTCCATTCCACGATTATCCGGAATTTCATCATAGCGCGAGCTACCACGACTAATGCGATAGATAGGCGGACTAACCTATTTCAATAAGTTCATAACCCACCTTGGCGAAAACAAATCAGGGTCGTTTGAAGACGTCACGTTATTGCTCGACGATCTTTCTTGAATGTTTACCGTATCGTTTGGCCAATCAGACTTTCATATCCACGACAATTCACGTTACTCTTTCATCTTCGAACCATAACGGAATGTATCCTCGGAATTCGTGCTCCGCCATCTTTCCACGCCGTGTGACTAGTATTATACTAGTGCTAGTACGAGTAGTTAGTAGTAAGTAGTAGTAGTCCATGGTATCAAAGGCAAAAAAATGTTGACCCTAGCTCGGATAAGTCAACCCCTAGAATGGAGGGACGATAAATAATGCATGCCCGACCCTAGCAAGCAGAGGCAGCTGCCAACAAAATAATTAACATTATTATAATGTCTTCCGATTATGAGAGATGAAATTAATTCTTTTGACCCGCACTGATAATTTCTTGCTTCGCTAATTGAAGAGTTAAATGAAAAATAATTATCAAGACGAGAAGGGGGAAAGACCGGCACGAGAGAATGAAAGAGATGCTCGCTCAGGGGCATTGAATTTTAGAGAGTGTTTCATTTCTAATTTAAGTTGAAATTTTCGGAAAATTGTTTTCGTCTCATATTCGATTTGAAAAATACGCTCCCAATATGTCTATTTTCCTGCAACAAAATTTTCGCCCTTTTTCAATATATTAAGCTTTATCGATTTTATTAAAAGTCACTCCAATCCGAATAAATCGTAAATTTCACTTAAATAGAGCTACTCTCGTCCCGTCCCTAGTTAGCATCTTTTTCTATAAATCCATAACTAAACTTTGGTTTGTATTCTCGTGTGACAACATGCAATATTTTTCTTTTCGATAAACAAAAAGTAAGTTATTTAGGTCCATCTGTCAACCGAAACACGACGATTTGCTATGAGTTACGATAACGAGCATTTTCACGACGCTTTTCAAGCATACTTTGTAGTGCCAATTCATCAAATGTCCAAGATTACTCATCACAAAGAGTTCACAAATAAGCATAAAAACTTCTTGTAGTGCCATGCAAATTATAATCTTTTATGTATTCAATTGTAACCAAATCATGTCCTAAGATTACTCCTTCACAAAATGAGATCATAACATAGATAATAATTGAACTTTGGTTACCCTTCTTTTTCTCTGTCTCTTGGCGATACTGTTTGGTCCTTTGTCCCTCCCTCCCTCCCTCCCTCCCTCTTTCTTACCATCTCTCTCCTTTTGAGCCTTTAAATTCCGTGATAATCCCCCAACACTCCTCCCTCTCCCTCCCTCCCTCATTCCCTCCCTTTTCTAGTTTCTATAAGTGCGACGACATTCATTTCATCTTCCCTCTCTCTCTCTCTACTCTTGCATAGCAGAACGGAGCTCACTCTCTCTCTTTTGTCCCTCTGCTTTTCTATTTCCGCTGTCTGCAACCCAGAAACTCACAAAACGCCCTTCACACTGTCCTCCATCTCTCCCCCTCTCTCTCGCCGAGCCACCTCGAAGCTGAAAGCTCCGGCCAAAGCCAAGGCTCTCAGGGTGTCTGTCTCTCCGGTGATGGGTTGATTCTTGATCCTCACTACGCTCCCTTCAAGCATTGACCTTTCTTCCTTCTTCCCAAAGTCCCTCCATTTCCACCCGAGAAAGCTTCCCTGCTGAAGACACCGGCGACCCAGCTGAGCGGGCTTCACCGGCATTTAGTCACTTCGCTCTTCAAAACCCAAGAACAGGGGAAAGAAACAGAGAGCCTCCGGAGATGATTACGGCGACGGACCTGTACCACGTGCTGACGGCGGTGGTGCCCCTGTACGTGGCCATGATCCTGGCCTACGGCTCCGTCAAGTGGTGGAAGATCTTCAGCCCCGACCAATGCTCCGGGATCAACCGCTTCGTGGCCCTCTTCGCCGTCCCCCTCCTCTCCTTCCACTTCATCGCCGCCAACAACCCCTACGCCATGAACTACCGCTTCATCGCCGCCGACACCCTCCAGAAGCTCATCGTCCTCGCCGTCCTCACTGTCTGGTCCCGCGCCAGCCGCCGCGGCTCCCTGGAGTGGTCCATCACCCTGTTCTCCCTCTCCACCCTCCCCAACACCCTCGTCATGGGCATTCCCTTACTGAAAGGCATGTACGGCACCGACTCCGGGAGCCTCATGGTCCAGATCGTCGTCCTCCAGTGCATCATCTGGTACACCCTCATGCTCTTCCTGTTCGAGTACAGGGGCGCGAGGCTCCTCATCGCCGAACAATTCCCCGACACCGCCGCCTCCATCATCTCCTTCCGCGTCGACTCCGACATCATCTCCCTCGACGGCAAGGAGCCCCTCCAGACCGAGGCCGCGGTCGGCGACGACGGCAAGCTCCACGTCACCGTCCGCAAGTCCACCAGCTCCCGCTCCGAGGTCTTCTCCCGCCGCTCCCACGGCCCCAACTCGGGCCTCTCCCTCACCCCGAGGCCGTCGAACCTGACCAATGCCGAGATTTACTCCCTCCAGTCGTCGCGGAACCCGACGCCGAGGGGGTCGAGCTTCAACCACACCGACTTCTACTCCATGGTGAACTGCAAGGGCATGAGCGGCGTTAGCCCGAGGCAGTCCAACTTCGGGGGCCTGGGCTTCGACGAGGAGACCGGGGTCGCTCCGGTGTACGGGAACGGGGCGAGGGCCAATGGCGGTGGAGCGTACCCCGCGCCGCCAAATGCCGGGATTTTCTCGCCCGTGGCGGCGGCCGCAAAGAAGAAGGGAGGCGATGGGAAGGACCTGCACATGTTCGTTTGGAGCTCCAGCGCCTCGCCGGTGTCGGAGGGCGGCCTTCACGTCTTCCGAGGCGGGGGCGATTACGGGAATGAGCTCGGCGTTGGTGGTGGGGGTGGGGTGGCTCACCAGAAAGGTTCGGACTTTGTTGACCCCTTTTTATGCAGAAATAGTAATTCTTTAGTCGTGTGTTGCGGTTGTCTTTTGGTTTATTCAAAACATGTCGATGTTGAGCGTGCAATGCGACAATTCACTGTGCACTGTCGTTGGAGTTTTGTGTTTTGTGGGGTGGTGGTGGCAACTGTATTTGTCCCTTTGAGCCCTTGAATGAGGTCATCATTGATTCTACTTTTCTGTGTTTTTGCTCTGCTGTTGTGGGTTTGTGTGGGGTTGGTTTGGTTTCTCTTTTTTGTTTCTTTCCTCTGGTTTGGCCGATTTGCTCTGTTTTTGTCCCTACAAGTTGCGCGTCCATGCTCTGGTTTGGTTTCTGAAACATTGTCATTTTCCACTGTTTGTGTTGAGAAAATAAGAACCCCCCATGTTGTTTTTGCCTTGGTCAGATTACGACGAGTTTGGGAGGGACGAGTTCAGTTTTGGGAACAGGCAGGTCCCAAATGGGGTCGATCGTGATGGGCCGGTGCTGTCCAAACTGGGGTCGAGCTCCACGGCGGAGCTCCATCCGAAGGCGGCTGTGGACGGCGAGGCCAAGCCGACTTCCATGCCTCCAGCCAGCGTGATGACCAGGCTCATCCTCATCATGGTGTGGAGGAAACTCATCAGGAACCCCAACACATACTCCAGTCTCTTTGGCCTCACTTGGTCCTTGGTTTCGTTCAAGTACGCCAAATTTACTGCTTTTAAGATACCTCAAGACACAATGTTCATCATATATCTATCCTCATTCAGCTAATGAAATCTTCGATGGCATTCCTTTCCAGGTGGAATTTGGTTATGCCAGCGATAATTGCAAAGTCGATTTCTATATTGTCAGATGCAGGTCTTGGAATGGCAATGTTCAGTCTTGGTACGTAATTTCCTAATGCATAGTAACGACTTGTTTTACCGTTAAAGCTCGCTGTATTTGATCACCTGAATTTTGCCTAACAGGTTTGTTCATGGCATTACAACCGAGGATAATCGCTTGTGGGAGCTCGGTAGCGGCCTTTTCGATGGCCGTGCGGTTTCTCACTGGTCCGGCTGTCATGGCGGCCGCATCTATTGCCGTTGGTCTACGAGGTGTCCTGTTACACATAGCCATCGTGCAGGTCAACTCGGCAATTTTACCAAGTTCTTGATCCAAAGAGTTGCTCTTCAATTTCTTTTGATGACATTTTATATTCTCAATCTTCCAGGCTGCTCTTCCCCAAGGGATTGTGCCCTTCGTATTTGCTAAGGAGTATAATGTTCATCCGGACATTCTAAGCACAGGGTCTGTTCTCATTCTTGATCAATTCTAATTCCAGTTATCCAGCTGGTTGAACTCCTCTGCAACCCTTTTTTTGCTAAAATCTCCTATGCAACCTTATGTGTGTATGCATGTGTGTCGTTCTATTCGTTCAATCTTTGAATGAACTCTTTCAATGTTTCATTTTTGCAGGGTTATCTTTGGGATGCTAATTGCTCTTCCCATCACTCTGGTCTACTACATCTTGCTGGGACTGTGAAAACACTGGAGCAAAAAGCTCTCCAATTGAAATGGACTCGAGCTAAAAGGAAATGCCTCCATATTGACTGGGTTTTCTATTTCTTTTTTTTTGTGGCTTTGCCCTTCTCATCTAAACCAGAAGAAAGAAAACATCGGAGAAGAATCCAAGGAGGAGAAAGACAGTTGACAGAGTAAAAGGAGGTGGTCTTTTTGCAGAGCAAAGAGGGACGAGTTCATTGGGCATCATTAGGCCTAGGACTAATTTTCTTTTGGGTCCTTTTTGTTGTTCTCGACTTGAAATCCCTCTCTGATCTTTTTGGTGAACTCGGGCTGTGTTCTTTTTGATGAAGAAAGTGAAGATTGTTCATGGTCGGGGCTCAACTTTCTGCACTTTCCCGTTGAGATATGAATGGTCCTGAGCTGTGTGAGTTGTGACCAGCTAATGCCATAATGCCTCAGCTGGTCTAATCATAAGAGCTAAGCTTTAGCGTATCCTTTTGCGACTGTCAAAAAGACGGCGAATCCTGACACATGTTGGCTCTTTGCCGAGCAGGGCCAGACGCATCAATGAAAACACCAAGCTTTGCAAAAATTCTCTCAAAATGGACGCATCCCAAATTCGACTGAAAAAATATATTAAAAAAATAAAGTTTCCAGTGTACCGAGAGATGGGTATTTCGGATTTTTGAAAATGAACGGCCCCTTCAAATATCATTGTAATCTTTTTGTAAAATTAATAAAATTACCATAGCCTTCCTTCTAAAGAAGGCTCTGTTTATCTGGAGTTTGTCGTAATGTTTCCAAGGGATTTGTGTGATCATTCGGAGAGATACGATACCATTCCGACCTGTGGTGTGTTCATCTGGTGAAACGCTGCGAGTGGTCCTGAGGCATCGAAGTTAGGTTTTAGACAAGAACGAGGTACAAAAAAAAACACAGGAAAGAACACAAATGAATTGACGGGACTTGGACAAATTGGAAAACGAAAGTTGAAAAAAGGATAAAAAAAAGATGATGATGATGCTCCATCATTTCATTCCCCCATCAAAAGCCGTATCGTCCGCCAAACCCTGCTGAATCTCGGGGGCAATGACCATAGTATATGGCATTAAAATACTGATCACTAAAACGTACCTGGGGAATATGTCAACATGTCCCACCAAGTGCCCAATGCCATCTTTATGAGCAAAGTGCCACTACTCTCAATCAAAGTAGACAAATGAGCTTGTCCCTCCTTTCCCCTTAGTTTAATCCGGTCGTGTCCCGTAAGTGTCCACCATTTCTCTTACTAAAACCTCCAAGTTCACAGAGTACACACCCATCTGGACATTTTATAAGCAGAAAACAGTGCCAAAAAGCGTGAAGTGACTGAATAAAATTTGGTGTTATCACCAGCTCTTTGTGTCTGCAAACTCAAAGGGGGGGCCGAAAACAAATGTGCAGCACATGAGCCACTGATAAGTCACTAGCCATAGAGCTTAGTTCTCAGTGAGGATCTGGGCTTTTTTTGCTTTGTGTGGGGGGGCGGGGGGGTGGGTTTTGATTCATATTTTCAGCTCAAAAGTGATGTACTTGCTACTTTGGGCGTGACCCAAATGCAAAAGGTCCGCTCAACTCATTGTCGGGTGACCCATGTGACCTGTATTAGCATTAAGGATCATTATTGTTTAATCCCATCACTAGTTGTAAAGGTATGATGAGAGCACTTCTAATGCCCGCACAAAGGCAATGAATAGGTGAAAAGATGGGTTTGGTCTGAATTGTATATCGTCTCCCTCGCGATGCCCTTTCTTACTTTTCAGCTCGCTGCCCTATGAAAAGTTCCCGTCGGTTTCTTTATGTTCTTCTAGATAATAAAAAAAGACGCGACTCGATGTGATTTCGGGCCGAAGAATGAACGTGCAGGGTCGATATGAGCGAATCTGGGAGCTGAATGCTTGCTCAGAATCAGAAAGATAGAGCTCATAGAACCAGCCACGTACAACAAATTTTTTGTCAAAGCAAAGGCAGTGATGAGTATGCGGTATTCCATTACAGGTGATACTTCTCCTATTTAAATATACATACGTGATTGACAACATACAACGCCGATTGATTACTCGAGACTTCTTATATCAAACATCGGTCCCTGTCGATTACAATCAAACCGAAGTTAGTATTATCACCATCCAAAACGATTGACGCTACGATACAGGAGGACTAACGCATAACGGGAACGTCGAACGGGGGCCGGATCAGTCGATTGTTATCCTTCGCATCATATGACTGGAAAAGTGGGAAAACACACAATGCATATGAACAATTTATCACGTATGGACCGAGACTTAAAATGTGCAATTGGGCTTGGGGGCAAACCACCGGTCAGCAAACACAAGAAGAAGACAATGGGCTCTGAATGGGCCTTGAAGCCCTATGTTGAACCTTTAAGGATGCTTCAGCCCGGATCTACATCAGTTTTAACCAGTTCGAGCCTTTAGCTGACGTGGGTTCCTTACGCATTTCGATTTTAATTTTAATGGCTTCCGACTTGCACTTCAAAAATTTATTACTTCCTTACTTAGGAGGTGAAGAGGAGAAGCTTTATCTTACAAAAAACTAGGCTAGGTCATATCTTTTGCTGTTCAGCTTAGGGAGTTCATGTGCAAGCACACGTGTCTTTGCTTTTATATGAGAGTCGAGCTTTGTTGTTCAGCTTAGGGAATGTTTCATGCGTTCCATCTTTACCTTGGCTTATATTGACTACTCGGTGAAGATTAGAAGCTTGTTTGACTCTGTGAAACCCACTCGTAAGGCCCCTTTTTTTTTTTTTTTTTGGAATTTACCCACCATACCCTTCTTCCTTGTGAAAAGTTGTCAGGTCATATGGCTAACGAGAAATAAATATATTGTGCCCTGGGATACAAAAATTTACGCCTTCTTCGTTAGGGCGATCAATTCACTTTTAAACTTTCATGTTTCAAATTACCTCGTGTTGTGAGCCGATTGACAGTTTTTTGCCTTTTTCTCCGAATACTTGCGGCACGAAAGGCGAAATCTATCGTGAGTATCGTCTAACTCCTCAAGTGAGACTTACACCCCGATCAAATGTTTTCCCATTTGAATTGAACTCTCTATTTATTGCCTTGGGTCTGGCATGTGTTGAATCGTGCTTTGGCGTGAATACAATTAGGTCTTTTGCCTTGGCATTACCATTAGGGGAAGTAAATATTTCGTGAACGTATTTGTTTGGTTTCGTTCGTTTATATCCCTCTTAATCCGTGCTTGCATTCATCCATTTACAAATCTCGATAGTGGTCGGTGTACGGTCATCCTAGGGTCGTCGAGGTACAGATCGCCCACGCCTTTCCCTCGGTCTAAACAATGCACATTAATTTTTCACACGTAGCTCATGGGGGTCGCGTTCAGAGCTTTATAACGAGATCCGTGTGTTAATTTTGGCCAATATGGCTCGAATCACTTTCTTTTTACGTTTACTCATTTCGAAGTTATTAGTATTATCGATTTATTTAATTTATTGATTGCGCACTTACTCATGGACTTTTCGAATTACATGATTAGGAATTAAATAGATCGTAAAGTGTTGCATGAATCAATGTTTAGCTAAAAGAGGAAAGGTATTGGTAGCAGGTGTTAGGTAAAACTTGTTGGAAGCGCATAGTAAAAATCCGATACCCTTTGCCAGAAGAAATCGCCAAGAGAGAGCTCAATTCCGAGCCCATCAACATATCCAGTTAAACTCACATTTATTTAAAAGCTTAAACCAATGAGTTATGAGCTCATAGGATATATTTACTGCTCCACACCATGCTAAACCAATCCTCCAATATACAATTTTTCTAATACAACTCACGCGTGCAACTCAACAATCTCCCCCTCGCGTGTGAGTTCAGTGTTAGGTTTTCTCCCCCTTAATTTAGGTATTCATCAGCATCAACTTATCTCAATTTGAATTTTCAATGCCCAACTTCATCCCTGGTCTCTTTCTCTAGACTGAACCATGAAGTCTGCTATCAAGCTTGCGTTGCTACACTACAACGCCTACTGCCCGAAAATCGCATTGGTTAGCAAATTTCTTCATTGAGATATTCACCAAACAACTTCATTCCTGGTTTCTTTCTCCAAACCGAACCATGAAATTTGCTATCAGACCCATGTTTCTACTCGGGTCAGTCACAGGATTCAATCTACCGTGGGCTTTGATAGCATTTGTGAAGAGCGTGCTGTAGAAATTTGATACCTTTGCCCGGGAGATTGCCAAGAGTGAGTTTCATTCCGAGCCCGTCAACATATCTGGTTGAATTCATCTTCACAGAAAAACTTAGGACAACAACTTATGGGCCAACTATATTAACTGCTCTACACTATACACAATTCTCAGATGTGAGATTTCTCTAACACAACTTATTTGTGCAAATCAACCAAACTAGTGTAACCAAATCCTCTAACCCGAAATCCCCGATTTATAGAAGTAAGGCGACCTCCCAAGCTCTTGGCTCCTAAAAGGCATAGAATAGATTAGTGGCGACTCTATTCTCATTCGATCGATAATACGCAAGAAACAAACTCGCGATCGATAAGACTTGGGAGAGGGTATTTGAAGCGTAAGCTGTCATCTGGCAAGAGGATTATACTATCCTGCCTAGCACTCTGTTAAGTTCATCCCCAGGTTCGTCTTGGGTGGATCGTGATATCGCGAGTGCCACGACAACAAGGTCGTGCAAAAGAATTTTACCAGTGAGTCAATCACGCGCGATCACACAATTCAACTATTGATTCCGGTATATTGGACGATAATAATTATTTAACACCAATTAACTCATGACAAAATTGAAAGCACTTTATATGTGGAAATCTTTATCAGAAAACGACGTAAACACTACCCAAAAAATAAAATGAAAAGGTAAATCAGATATTGACAGATAAATAAAACCCTTGCAGACAAAAAGAAAAGCCAACCACCGAAAGCACTTTGCAACACCACTTTCACTTCCCCATCATTCACACTCTCCTATATCCTCCTCCTCCTCCTCCTCCTCCTCTTCCTTCTTCAGTCAAACGCTCATCGAACTACAACCACCCCCACCACCACCACCACCACCACCACTCGACGCCGCCGTCATGCAGCAGGAGAGCTCGCCGGAGAGCCCGTCCCTCTACCAGCTCCTCGCCGGGGCGGGCCTCATCAACGTCGCCTCCTACGGCGGCTTCCCGGTGGGGTGCGAGCAGCACCAGCTCCTCCCCACGGGGCTCATCCAGCAGAGCTTCTGCAGCAGCTCCTCGAATTTCAGCTACGGCCCTTTCGAGGCCTCCGCGAACTTCCTGTCGGACGCGGCGGCCCCGGAGGACCGGACGATCGCCGCGCTGAAGAATCACAAGGAGGCCGAGAAGAGGCGGAGGGCTCGGATCAACTCTCATCTCGATAAGCTCAGGAGCCTCCTTCCTTGCAACTCCAAGGTATAATTCCCTAATAAGCATCGGAATCCTATGTTTGTTAGGAACCTTATATGCTTTTCTCCGGCTCATTCAGCTGAAAATTACAGTCGCGAATGAGATGTTTTGATGTCGTCCGATGAACTCGGGACGACCCTCGAGGGTTCTTGTCCAATTGGCTGTGTCCATCGTTCCACGCGAGTCATGAATTCGAGTCTGTACAACGCCATGAGAAGTGAGAGAGAGCTCCAAACTTTACTCCCCAGGAGGCCAAGTGTGAAAACCCCCGTTAGTTGACCGGCATATATGCTTCGCCTGACACGCAGTGAAATTAAATTCCACTCGTTTGAACAAGCTGAGTCAAAGAAAGCGTCCTTTGGAATAGATTTGTCCGTCTTTTTTCTTCTTTCTTTTTCTGTTTTTCTCTTCCTCAATTTCTTGGTTGAGCCAAGTTCCTAAGCTAGCAATCTCTTTTACACATTTTGATTCCGAAACTTTGGACCTGCGTGCGTGCGCCCCTTTTCAGCTTTTTTGAATATTCAACCTCTTTAGACACGCACTCTGTCTGAAAAAAAAGGAGATTGCAAAGACTTCTGTGTGTTAGGGTTGCTGGGTGCTCGGCTAAGTCAGCTAATGCTTTTTAGCCCTTAGGGTTTTTCCAAGCATGCACATTGGTCTCACTACGATAGTTTCTTTCTTTCTCTCTTCCTTTCTCTAGACAGATAAAGCCACGCTGCTTGCAATGGTAGTCCAACGCGTGAGGGAACTGAAACAGCAGGCGTCCGACATAACCGCTCTCGACATGTTCCCTTCGGAGTCCGACGAGATATCAGTGCTCTCGAGCGACTGTTCGAGCGACGGCAAGCTCATATTCAAGGCCTCTTTGTGCTGCGAGGATCGGTCCGATCTCCTGCCCGACCTGATTGAGATCCTGAAATCCCTCCACCTGAAGGTCCAGAAAGCGGAGATGGCAACCCTCGGAGGGAGAGTCCGCAATGTCCTCGTCGTGGCTGCTGACAAGGATCACAGCATCGAGTCAATCCATTTCCTGCAAAACGCGCTGAAGTCGCTACTCGAGCGGTCGAGTTCTGCCGAGAGGTCGAAGAGGAGGCGCGTGTTGGACCGTAAAATCATCATGTCATGATAATTAATGGAACATAAACCGCATTGAATTTCACATCAAGTGCATGTTCTATAATTCTAGTCTTTGGTTGTAATTCTACTCAAAATATATATTGAGTGAGAGAGCTTGCTACGTTTTCTTTTTTCTTCTGGGTGTATCGAAATGTTGATAGCCACAAAAGGTTTGGAGCCAAAAAAACATTAGCTCAAGAGGAACGGAGGGATTGATTTGAGTATGTGGATTATTACATTTTTCTTGATCAAGATTCAAGTAATCTAGGGTTTATCTTTTTCCTGCATGAGATCTCTCCTTTCTTGCATGTACGGATGAAACTTCTTAAAGACTCTGAACTTGTGCGAATAAGGAAGATATCGCGATGCGATTACGAAGTCTGCAAAAAGCAAACTCAGTGTGTGTGTTTCCAAAGCTCAAGATGGTACAGCATCGTCTGTTTTTTTCCTATGTGCATAGATTTATCGAATCTGAGCACACCGATCCCGGTTCGTCTGTGAAGCATCTACACTGACTTTGATGATGCGTGATACAGGAATGAGAGCTGCTTGTGCTCGAGGCGTGAAGAAGATAGAGTTCTAGTTGAGAACAGTATCAGACAGTGAAGATCCGGACACAGCGCAAGAATCGAAAGCTTTGTTCATTTTGAGCTCTCATCTCCCAGCTCTTGCCTCGAGCAGATTTCACCCGAGTGAAAAGATATTTGTCTGAATCATTCCACTGAAATATACTTTTCAATTTTAAAATCTTTTCAAGCTCTGATCTGCAAGCAAACGATTACGACTGTTCATCACAAATTATCCAAAACAAGAAAGAATCTCACAAGCTCATTTCACGAGGAGCGGCAGTAATTCAAGAACCGGGCCTTCGACGGTCATATCACCTCTTGGTCACGTTGAATCTTTGACCGTTAGATAGAACGACAAAAAAGATCCGAGCCGTCCATTCTTCCACCTGATGAACCGGTTTGCCTATATTTCAAAGTTAGGTCAACCGAGTTGCACTCTCGGTCAACCGATCTTGTCATAATTCAATCTTTTACTTGGTAAAAGAATCTAATATGCAGTAAATTTGACTATTTTCCGGTGGAAAATCACCCCTATGGTAGTACGACTTATCATTAGTATATAATCTAGATCGATAGTAATGATTACTCTCACTTAGTTGACCACATTGATAGTTGGTCTATTAGGACCGACTTGCATTGACTAAGAATGATTTGTGCTTACCAACAACAGGTTATGTCTACGATCAATAGTGGTAAACCTTGTTCATTCTTTTCACATAGTTAATTTACTAGGAATTAAGTAATTTTTACAACAAACAACTCATATTCACAAAGAACGAATAGTATTTACTAAGACCAAGTTGCATTTACCATCATGCCGCTTACCATGAACAACTTCTATATACTTAGAACGACTCACGTATATCAAAAACAACTTGTCTTAATGAATGTGGTACAGTACAAAATATATTATGTCAAAAACAACTTGACTAAGAAATTTTATTTTCCCTTTAGAAAATTAAAGAATTTACTAAAGATGAGGTCCCATTTACCTTCAATGAGTACGATTTACTACGAATAAGCTTTTTGACCTGATACCTGAAGTAAATGACGTCACATTTTCAGTGAGGTCACCTCACCATACAAGGTGTCTCTCTTTTTCTGGAATTGATTTGTTCCAAACGATCGATTGGCTAGACAAGTATGGAGAGGAGGAAAGAAATCGATCTCTCACAAAGATTTACTTTTCTTTTTCCAGTTCTCAAGGACGATTAACGAAGGTTGACCTAAGATCAAGGGTTCCTTGCTCCTAAACTAAACCTACCCAGCGAACCGAAGGGATGCGAAGCTCGAACGATCGCTGTTTTAGACGCATTCACCGCTCGAAAGTTTGTCGTCTAAAAACCCTAATCGGTGGACCGCCGTCAAAGACCAGTACATATATAGTCCGACTGTTCCCCGTGCATGATAGTACAAAGATAGATATGGTCGAGCAGAGGATGTATTTTTACCCGTGGAACAAAGGGAAGGTGCTTTTCTTCTTGTGGCGCTTCCTGCATAAGGACGGAGTGCATAAGCATGACCCGATTATGTACGTCACGATACTCATTCCGAGCTGGCCACTTTGTGCTTGGGCAAAAAGATGACGGGGACTGTCAACCACACGGAAAGTATTAGGCCGCACCGAATTATAGAAGTCTAGCGCATGTAATATGTTTAATTATGTGGATCTCAAGTGGAGCTCGTAAGATTCGATTGCATATCGAAGGGACCGAACCGGGCAAATTATTATAAGGTTTTCGTATCCGGGAATGTCCTTGGCATGTGTCTTCTTGTGTCGATCGAGAGAGTGAGAGAAAGAGGGAGAGCGTGCGAAAAGGTGGCTGGCAAAAGGGTAGGGGGCCAATGATGGGCATTTATAGGAAAAAAGCATGAGACGATAGCCATGACTTTTAAAATTAAAAGGGCCGAGCGATTAAAAAAACAAAGGATTCTTTGTAACGAGAGTTGAGAACTTCTTATCAAAGCATGTGCATGTGAATTTCTTCTTTCTTCCTTGGCCGTAAGTGTAAGGGTAGTTTCATTCTTATTAGATTAATGAAACATTTCACTAGAATAATTAGATGATGACCGTAAATCGTGAGGTTCCCTTTTCTAGTCCTTCGGCAAGTTCCGCGAAGCATCCATAATCTTAGACCATTCGATCAAATATCGTCATCGACTACACTATTCCATAAAAAAGTATGTTTAACCAGTGCCGTGATGAAATGAAAACTCGAGTCTGCGAATCATTTATAATATACGGTCATTGATTGCAAGACTTCGTTCATGACTTGCATCATTGACTCGAGTCAGACCAGTCTCACGTGTATAGAACAATAAGATGAGTGTTGGGAAAGCGCAACATAAGTCCGATAAGTCTCGAGAGATCGCCAAAAGGGAATCTGAGTCTGAGCATGTCAATATATTTGGTTGGACTCACCTTCACTCAAATGCTTGAGTCAATAAATTATGGGTTAATTAGGATATGTTAACCGCTCAGCACCACGTCAATTTTTCAATTTAGAAATTTTCTAACACTACTACACAGATGGATCTTAACAACTACCAATATCGGCAATAATGCCGAAAAGAATATGGATGTGAATCAATAAAGTAATTGGGTTTTTCAACGTCGACTTGAGGAGGGCGTGGGGCAGGGGTGGCGATGAACGATCATCTACCCCCTCCCCTCCCCTCCCGACAGCTGCATCGGTCGAAGCACCGCCGTGTCGGAGGGGCGTGGATGGCTGTCGCTCTCAAGAAATGAGGAGGAGGGGGGTGGGGGGGACTGTCCGCGACTGTCCCAGCGCCTTTGACTCTGGCAACTCTGCCTCCTTCTCGCTGCAGGCGTGAACGACCGCTGCTTCCACAACTTTGTTGCCTTTTGCCTACACGTCTACTCTCTGATCTCTCTCTCTCTCTCCGTCTCGACAGCGAAACATATTCTCTGTCTCTCTCGGGCCCCGCCTTTTGCTCTTCCCACGACCCGCCTTTTTCTTCCTCGGCAATCATTACCCTACCCCCTCCTTCCCCTTCCCCTTCCCCTCTTCCGTCGCGCTCTTCCCCCAAAAAATTCCCTTCGCATTTTTACTCCCCTCTGTTGCTCCGATTTGATTGCCGTGTGCGTGACACTATCATTGCGCTTTGTCCACTGTTTTTTACTCTCTCCCCTTTTGCAGTTTGATTCTTCTATCTTCTTGTTGTGAATGTGATGCTGGGTTTTTAAGTGTTGGAAGCTCTTTTGGAACCGGTCCTAATGAGGTTTTGGCCAAAAGGGTGTGTCCTTTGCCCGCCTTTCTTGCGTACTCGAATCCGATGCCCTGCCCCTTCTCCCCAGCGGAGAAAGCTAAAGAAGAAGAAGAAGAAGAAAGATGTGTGAAAGTCGTTACCCTTTTCGGATTTGCCTTTCGTGCCCGTTTTTGAATTGCGCATGGGTCGTTAAATTCTCTCGCTTACGTTCTTTATACGAGCCTAATTGATTTTGTAAATTTGTGGATATTAAACGCAAGAACTTATGTTTGGAGGGCCGACTTCACAAATTAGAAGGACCCAAAAGATATATTAACTATGTAAACATATCGCCAGAACTCTTGATATTGTAAAAAAATGAGGTTTGAAGCAATAGGTTAATGTTGGCTAGGACGAGACTGCATGGCCATGTCGTTTCTCTTGCACTTGTAGAGTCGGGCTGTGACAGAGGAGAGGGAAGCCCATTGGATATCTAGAGCTGCTAATTACAAAAGCCCGCTATAACCAACTACTCGGGCTTCTTTCCAACCCAAAAAATGTCGAGCTACTTCTTTCCATGAATTAGTTGCTCTCTTCTATGTTCGCTCTAGCTTTGAGGCAAACAAGTCTCGTTCTGATACATTGCGAACTTCACGGTACGGAATGTCGGCCGGAGGCGTCGCGCACGCCAGGTCCGCGGCGGGATAAGTTCTCCGGCAAGATCGACTTCAAATTAGAGAGGGCCCGCGATTCGAACTCGAGTCTCCTCCAATATGTTTCCCTCCAAGGCCACTGGGCCGTAGCTCGGAGGCCTCAAGAGGCCTTGCCGGATCCAAATGATAGACTTTTGTGGCCTTTATTCAAATGGGCCGAGAGCCCATCAAACTCGTTGACTAGAGAGCCTAGACTACAAAAGACCACTTCAACTCTTTTTGTCCATCACGCCCGTCGTGGTACTTCGATAATTCCTTGATCCGCATTGATTCGGAAATTGCTATAATTCAAAGAGGATTGATTAATAAGGTATTTCGAATATGCGCGGCGTGGAACTCCCGGTCGCGCTCCCTGCTCTTTTTACCAATGAAAACCCTCAAACGATAGTCATCGACCGCCTTTTAGCTTCATGGATCCACATCGAAATCTTGCCAAAGGTAACAACAACGAGTCGATAATTTGCACATCTATGTCTTAAACTTAGACATTGCTTAAATATATGGCCTATTACATATAATTACTTGAAGAGCATATTCAAATATATATAACTTGCTCAGACACATGTAAAATAGACAGCACCGACACAAATAGGATGTCAATCTACTTAACCAGATCTGTCAAAATATGTCGCAAGCAAATCAAAAGAAGTCGACTTACTCGAGACATATTCATTACGTGTATATTAATGGGTTGCCTCAGTTAAAACATAATTATATCCGCATAAATAAGTCCGCGTCCAAAATGATAAGCCGTACGATCTTCACGAGCTACTTGTCAAACAAAATATCAAGCGTATTAGATGTCGTATTCCAATTTCAAATCGAGATGGGTACAAATTCTCGAGCATCTTTGAAGGCATAAAAAGAATCTATTGACAAAGCATTGGCTCGATATTTTGTCAGAGAAGAAAAAAATATCCTAAGGAAGCAAAAGTCGCATAAAACCATATAAAGCGAAAAAGAACAAAAGAGCGCTCCCACGATCGTGAACCGAAAGGCTCGACAAAATGCACCTTCAACGCTCCTGATTTCGCCACGTCATCGCAGGTCCCCCCCCCCCCCCCCCCCCCCCCCCCACACGGCAAAAGGAACTTGGAACTAATGGCATCTGCCAGCCGAGCCAACATGATTCGGAGCATAAATCGAACTAGTTTGGACAAGCAATTTCCTTCTCATGCTCAGCCGCTCCGGCCGCCTGCATTGGCTCACTTGGGTCTGTCGGGGGTTCGGTCGTTTCATGAGCAAGACTCGCAGGATTTTCTAAATGATTGGCGCGCTTGACAAAAAAGACTTCCAAATCCCGTGTTGGGTCTGGCATGTTTAGATCCGTCGGTTGATCGGCTTGCTACACGATTGTAATTGATGTGGCGTTTAAAAGGGGAAAAAAATCCGTCGCTTAATCATATTACTTATTGATATTCTGTGGAATGCATTCAAATGACCGATTCTGTCGATGTAAGTGCGATATTGATCCGTTGTTACTTGGTCTTTAATCCAAATTTGATACCATATATTTAAGCATCTATTTCGATCTCTACGGTATCGATGCGATTTAGGTCCGATCATATTTACCTTTGAACTATAAACAACTATAAATGTTCAATATAGTCCCTAAATCATATGAAAATATCCAATGTTATCTTTCTCTTAATCCATGTTCAGGGATAATATTGAATATTTTTAGTGACTACAAATTAAACATATATAAAAAATTTAGAGATCCTCTTGAATAAATTAAAAATTCAAGAAATGCATCGCACATCGTTCAAGTTATAAGTTTCAGTGCGACATGGACCGTTTCGCTCAAAAGTTCATAGGCTCTTGGTGCCATTTTCCCGGCTATATAAATCAACGAAAAATAGGAAAACATTTTGCGCCGACCGCACGCGCGGCAAGCCCTGCATCATACGTGTGTCCGAGCACTTCGGCATCCGAACTATACAGCGTACAACGTGAGGACGGGGTATCAGCGGACAGAGAGAGAGAGAGAGAGAACAAAGTGTCGTTTCCCTCGCCGGAATATTCCGATTCTTCAGGTCCGTCTTCTACGTTCTCTCTCTATCTCTCTCTCGCTCTCTGTTGTTAATCCAATCGTTCGAGGTATGGCAACGATCGAGTACTCCATTCGTGTGGTTCTAGGTCGCATGTTGATGGAGCGTCGAGGGAGAGATTTCGTGGTTTTTAAATTTTTTTTATCTTCTGGGGAGCTCGAAACTTGGAATTTTGGCGGCGTTGATGTTCTTGTTTCGTCGAGTTGAGTTGATTTCCGCTGTTCTGCTGGCTGAAGTGAGAAGCGATACTGTCCGTACGGATCGAAGCTCGGTCGGTCGAGTCACGCGGAGACGTTTTGGGTAATGTATGGTTTGTGAATATATATACAAAGGGGAAGTGCGGCGCGCGGCCTTAGCTAGCGAGAATCTGTCTTACCAGGTGGTGTTCATGTTACTCCCTGATCAGCTGAAACTGATCTGGTCGTGGACGTTGGTTGCGCGCCTTTTTTGGGGCCTTCTCTACCGTTGGGACAGTGTTTGTTTATACCCATGTGCTATATGTGCTTGATTTCTAGATTAGATGGCCGTTGATATGAAATTTCTCGGATTAATGGTGATCAGAAGGAATGATGCATTTAATCTCTTTGCAGGTGAGAGAAAGTCTTGGCTTTTAGGGGGGAGGAAACCGACTTTATTCAGCTGTGATGCACCTTGTTCGTGAAAATCTGTTCATTGGGAATATTTCAGATGCAGCAGAAGTCCTCCAAAATGGCAGCGCCGAGGTTACTCATCTTCTGTCAGTGCTGAGCTCTGCCTCCATATCGTTTTTCTCTGAGTGGCGTAGCAGTTTAACGATACCCAGTAAAGAAATCAAGAAGGTCTATGTTGGAGGTTCGGGTGGCGCTGTGGATTCTGAAGATGTCAGGGTTGATGGGTCCAAGAGTTGTTTGTCGCCTGAGAAGCTCTTGTATTCCCTGGAGCATGCAGGGAAGGATTTGAAGTTCGTGAGAATGGCGGTGCCGGTTAGGGATACGGAGAGTGAGGTCTTGTTGGACTATTTAGATCCATGCTTGGAATTCATTGAAAAGAGTCGGAAAGAGGGGTCGGTCTTGGTACATTGCTTCGCTGGAGTGTCTAGAAGGTGTAGCTTTTTTCTAGTGTTTAATTTACCATTATTATATATCCTGGAGTGGTTTTACATGAATGATGCTTGCATACAATTAGTTTATTTTTCTCTCACCTCTTAATTAAGTTACATGGCTACCTTTTGTCTTTGAGTTACAGCACATGTGCCAGAATCCACATCTTTTTGGCATTTGGAGACAGATTGCATGGGCTATAGCTACTTAAGTGAGTGATGCATGTGAATCATGTAATGGTAAAGGAGCGTATTTGTATTGCTACCTAAGACTAGCCGTACGATATAACTAATTTCATTGTAATAGTTGCCTGTGGCTATACACGTCAATCCTTTGCCTTGTCGTTCAATATTCAGAGTATGGTCAAATCTTAAATGAGTCAATGAAAACTTAGGTGTGTAGTTTATTGATGGCATGGCAATTAATTTTGTCATAATTGAAACGCATGGAAAAAAATGTCAACAGTGTGCGGTGTTTCAGTCTGAGTTCTGTTAAATGTATGTACAAGTCCTCCTATGACAGAATCAGATGCACTGCAGCTTCCATTTTCTCCTACCATGTTTATGAGGTAAATCAAAAGTGGATTGATGTGACAGGATTGCTATTTCCTCCCTTCAGAATCAACCTGATGTGTGAAGATAGCATTAGAGGATGAAGATTAACCTTGAGCTATCAAAGGAGCTGCTTGAAATATGTTCTGCTTCTATTAAGTTTGCCAATGCCATGTGATGATTGCCTCATAGTTGTGGCATATGTTTGGATGATGATAGTCATTGTCATGTAACATTAGTACATAAGTTGATTAGTTACGCTTGGTGTTGAAGCAGCATCTCAGTGCTGAATGAATTTTCCTCTGACGCTGATTATTCTATATAAGGTCACAGGAACCAGTCCTATTTAATAGCGGATATTTTGCTTTAGCAGCTGGTCTTAATACCTCGTCTATTGATGAACAGATGGTTTGAGTACTCTATTGAATTAGATTTGTAGTCACAAATCCAAAACACTCATGCATGTAGCATTTCTTTTTCCTTCTTTTCTTTCTCAAACTCCTATCATCTGAATAAGTATGTTTTTGTTATATTAACTTAATTCTGGCCCCTTTCCTTTGTAATTTGTTTTGTCCGGGTCGCGTCATTTTGTCTTGGTTGCCACTTGTGGCAATTCTAGCCTCAAAAGTGCCCTCGTTTGGGATGCCCATCTTCCAATTGTACATTTCAGCTCAAGGCCAGGTTGGAGTAATTCGAATGTGTGTGCCACCAGCAAATCATGACTTTTAATGTCCATATGTATGTTTTTGTATGTCCTTTGTAAGAAATTTTCTGAATTTCTTTTCTCGTGAGGTTCCTAATATGTGTAAGAAATATTCCAGAGGTGGCCTACATTGTGTAGTAGCTTCTCCGCTATCTGTTTAATCAAAGTCCTAAGGAGTTTTTCCCTTCTTTCCATGTGTCCGTTGCAGTGCAGCTATTATCACAGCATATCTGATGAGATCAGAGCAACTATCTGCAGAAGGTACAACTTATTTCCTTCTTTATTTGGATTGAAACGTTCTGAAAGTCTTCGTGCTTGAAAAATGTGAGAAGATATCTTCACGTCATTCTCTTGATCATGAATATATGACTGTAATCTTTTTGCGGAATCTTGCAGACGCACTTGAATCCCTGCGGCAAAGTTGCGAGTTTGTTTGCCCAAATGATGGTTTTATAGAGCAGGTAATATGCTGTCATACTCTGATAACTCTTAAGACATAATTGGAGGACAAAAATGTTAGTATTTCTTTTGTTTCTCCAGTCATCAATTCCTAAATACATTTGCATTGCAGTTACAAATGTTTGAGGAAATGGGCTTCAAAGTCAATCGAGACAGCCCCATCTACAAGAAGTTTCGACTGAGAGTTCTGGGTAATTTCATTTGTCTTCCCTAGATTCTGGTGGGGCTTATAGTAATAAGAGGAGATTCCCTTTCCTGTTTTTTTCTCGTATGTAAGAGGTACTTTTTATTTTGGTTCACGGACATAGAAGCCAAGAAATTGTTCAAGGAAAATCTGCTGCTGCGACTTCTATCGAACTGAATATATATGGTTTTGTAAGGTCTGTCAATTTTATCTCTGATTAATGCTATATGGCGAGTGACCTTCCTCGTAGCCTAATGACTGGGCTTTGAGACTTGAATGTCTGCTCATTAGGCACACTCAGTTAATTGCTTGTTACTTCTGTAAAATTCAGTAGATGTCTTCAAGTTTGAAGTTGCCGTAGATTCCCTTTCATAGTTTCAATTGACTGTCTCAAATAGGTAATAATCTAGCGAACCATAGAATTGTAAATTTGGCTGGGCTAGATTTTATTGGAGTTTGGTCAGTTGGTATTAGAATTCATAAAGCTGGCAAGGCATTTCATCTAACTATACTGTCATGTATGCGGAAAAGGTCTCTTAGTGATAGTGTACCAAATTATATAATATTGTGTTTTTATGGTCAACCATGAAGTTTTCCTTGGTGCTTAAGGAGATCATCTTTTGACTAAAATAAATTTTGTTTATATTGACCTACTCAAATTGAAGGCAATACTATTTTCGACTCGAAGAGTCATATTGCTGATAACTTTATTCTCCTCTCATTCATTGTCTCCACCATCTGTCCCTTTCTGCATCCGCCACTGCCTCTATGCTAACTTCTATTAGAAGTGAGCCACAAATGTCAGTACGTAATGCTCGCTTTACCAAGCTTTTTTATGGACTATGAGAAAGAGTGTTGGTGTGATGATATCTTGGAATGCTTGCTTTACCAAGCTTTTGTAGGGATTATGAGGAAAGAGTGCTGGTTTGATGGTATCTTGCAATTTCTTTTTAGATGTATTTACTGAATTTAATTCGGTTCCATGGTTCAGGCGATTCTTACAACCGTGGGGAGAAAATAGACAGTTCCAAGTTTGCGGCAGATCCTGGCTTGCCAACAGAAGCTCCATCTGAAGTCAAAGCATCTCAAAATGGACCAGTTGATCGCAAGATTGCCTACCGTTGCAAGAAGTGCAGAAGGATTGTGGCTTCTCAAGAGAATGTTGTGGATCATGTTCCAGGAGAGGGCGAATCATCCTTTGGGTGGAACAAGAGAAGAGGCGGCAACCCTTTTAACAAATCTGATGATTTCGAGTGTTCTTCTATATTTATCGAGCCTTTGCGATGGATGACAGCTGGTAAACTATGTCCCGCAACTTATTCTTCTAAAGTATCTTCCTTTAAGGAATTAATGAAGCCGCATTTGAAAATGAAACATTTAAAATTGAGTATGTCTGAAGTTTTCTTCCTTCGCTCCTTGGAGTAGACCAAGAGGGAAATAATTATCTGATTAGAAGTAGAACTTTTAAGCTTTTCTCCGTTCTCAATTTTAGCCAAGAAATTCAGGCTCCATAGATTTCACTAGAAGTATGACAACATGTGGCGTACCCCTTTTCTCCGAGTTTGGCATCGTCATAAGCTGCGGAACAATGATTCCAAAAGCGAAATCTTTTCCCTTTGCCTGGGAACATGTGAAGTTACCAAGCATTTCGTCCACTCGAGACCCAGAATTAGCTTAAAAACAAACATGTAAAACTATCTCTTGCATACCTTGATATTAGTGCTTATTCAGAAAATTGATGTCATTTCTTCCCTGTAATGGCACATGGGCTCATACTTGAAATTGTCGATGCTTTTATGCCATGCAGTTGAAGAAGGGGCACTGGAGGGCAAGTTATCTTGTGCCCATTGCGATGGTCGCCTTGGTTACTTCAATTGGTCAGGTATCCAGTGCAGTTGTGGGAGTTGGATCACTCCTGCTTTTCAGCTCCATAGAAGCCGAGTTGATATCAGCACTGTGTGATGCTAAGAGGTCAAGAGAGGGAGGCTATCTTGCTCGTACTTCCTGTGTCAAATATACTGCCAATAATAAATCTAGACCTCAATTAGGCAGCTCAAAGTATAGTACACAATGTCAATACCGCTTCATGGATTTTGCTATTCTGATAAGATGGGCATTTACGAATCATGACTGGAGATAAAGCTCGAGTTCATCTACAGGCGATGGCCTGGTTTTTCCGAGTCTTTGCGGAATTGTAACGAGAGTAGGATGAGCATGGGGATTCCCTTTCAGGCTTTTTGGCCTTTGGAGAGTTGATGGTCATTACTTGTCTATTTGTGATTCTTTTTAACGACTTGAGCCGTCGAGCATTCCGGAGAAAACGATTGCTGAGAGTCTTTGCTGTGTAGTTAATCTCAACTGGTGCTTGAGAAACGAACTTTTCATAATTCATATATCGTGGCTGGCTTAAGCCGCTTAAGGAAAGAGTGGCTGTAATGAAAGACTGGCATTCCATATTATTAGCCATTTCTCCATTTCTCCATGCAGTCTTTGCTCCCCGATTTTGTTTTGGTTTTCCAATATTTGATCATAATTACACCAAAAGAGAAATACATCGGCAAACTTTTCTTATTTGATTTATTAAGTGAATGCCCTCGTAGCACCGTGACGATTTCAGAAGACAGCATCCCTCAGCCACATTCACCTAAACAGCCCGCATTTGTCGGGGTGCCGCTGTACAAAGGAATTCTCTCTCAAAAGGGTCCCAAAGTAATTGGTGGCGAAAAAATTGAGCTTTTGACTAAAACGGGACGAGCAGAGACAAACAACATTAAAGAGGGCAGCAATTGTATAAGCCCATCGATGGGCCAACTAAAAAGCTCAGTCAACTAATAAGAACAAGAGTAACCTTCCCCATGTCACAAGAAATTCTCCACAGATGTTATTACTGGGATTGGGATTCAAGAAGGATATTCGTTGCCGCATTGACATCGTTTCTTCCTCGGATGAGCGCTTGTCTGGCAGAGCTCCGGTCAAATCCCATCGAAACAAGTGTGGCAATCGATGCCTCTGATGGCTCTGGGGTGGAAGGCACTGGAGCGGGATAGTTTGGCTAAACACAAAGAAAAGGGTCAGATGCTGTTGTAGGAGAGTCGAACTAGGTAGAAACAAAAAGAACGAACACTGCTCCCTGCCATGGGAGAGAAGTATATGTCTACCTGCCCCAAGAGGGAGGAGGAGGGAAGTGAAAGGCAGACTCTGATTTTCAAGCTGTTCCACTAGTTTCTAAGCTAATGGAGTTACCATTCACTGCCTCCTACACACTGAGAGCTTCTTTGGGTTTACAGACTTATGATTTACTTAGCATCCTGTTTCATCAGCGTTCTGGAAGCCGTGACTTCTAAGCTTCCGGTAAGTATGACTCTGCCCTAGAGGTAATTTAATAACTTGAGCTGAAATATTTAATGACTAGAAACTTCAGACTCGCACAAACCTAGCTTGAAGTTTCCCCTTCCTGGTTTTTGGGATTGCTGGCTTTTGAATGCACCAAGATAAAACAAAGAGGTGATGCCATTAAAACCACACCCAAAAGTCCCTTAAAACGGGAACACAAAAGCATACTAATCAAATTTCTAAATCTGCCACTTTAAATTGGAATATGACAATTTGATACGGTCACCATTTAAGAGGGCCACTATTATTCTCAAAGAACCGTAGTAGGCATTTTGAAACTACGATTACTAAAATTGCACTAGCAGTGTCTAATCAACTTCATCTAACTAGTAAACTAGGGTGCAATTAAGTGCAACTTAACACAAAAGAAAATTCAACGACAGACTCCAAGGAGATGCACGATAAATGATGAGATCAAGCAGATAAGCTGAGTCAGAACATTTAAACGAATTGGCCATATAAGTTTCACAGAGGAAATCTTAATACATTAAAAAACCATTTAAAGCTTACTCACCTCTACTGGGCGAACTGCACGGGATGGCAAACTTCCCATGACATTCCTAGTATATGTTGCAGGCATGCTTCCAATAGACGGCCATGAAAGCCGCACAAAGAATGAAGAAATGAACTCTGGAAACTGAGAAATTTACGAGACAGGCACCAACCAAAGTCAGTATTATAAGGAGCAAATGGCTAAGCCATATGAGCTTTCATAAATTTGACAATTGTGAAATTTCACTGAAAAATTTACATTTAGTAAGCAACGCCACAGACTGGGCTATAGAGCTATTGACTCTGCATTTCAGTTATTAATGAAAGACATTGACATCGCTATACATGGATGGAGAAAATACGCCCCAATGACTCCCAACATGGCATCCACAAGATTGGCACATCAAAGAACATTAACTGAGCCCTTTTCGTCCCCATGCCTTGACAAAGCCAAAGAAGAAAAAATATGATGTGCTGCCAGCAGAATCTTTTGCAATAACATTTATCCAATGATTTAAAGATTCTTGGAAAAATTTCGCAGTTACATGTAGTTCCACCAATTGTTAAGAGAAGTCTGAGTGGAAAAAAGAGACAGGTAAAAGACAATACTCGAAGAGCGTGGACAGAAGATATCTCTCACAAGCCTTATGTTCTGCTTATACTCTTACCATCCTCACATCACCCTTTATCTCACAAGAAAGAGAAGCAAGGGAACTGAGCTTTCTTTTCCCTTTTGGCTTTTCATCTTCTTTGAAAGACTGCTTGTGTAAAGATGACTTGGGAGTGATGATGGGCGGGCGAGGAGGTTGTTCATCTTTTGTTAGCACAGCACTTCATCAGGGCCAGTGCACTACTATCAAGTATATGGAGAATATAGGCGAGTATTGCTAAATCATCATACATACATCGGGCAGAGCTTCTCGCCTCCAAAAATGACTTGGGAGTGAGGATGGGTGAGGAGGTTGTTCATCTTTTGTTAGCACAGCACTTCATCAGGGTCAGTGCACTACTATCAAGTATATGGAGAATATCAAGCATCCTAAAAAACTAAGATGATGCATTTACAAGCTCACAGTTCATTGATATGCTCACTTCTGAATTTCCTAAATGTAAAAATTTCAGAGATGCATAGTAAATAATTGTTCACCAACAATGTTAGAGTACAACCTTTGCCTTTCTGATGTAAAAGAAGTTCAAGCGATACAACGAACCAGCTACAAAGCCACAAATCCCTGGGAAGATAGATCTTTTCCAAGATGATAGCAGAAGCTGAAAGACACAAACTCTTTAAATGTTTGCAGCAGAAAAAAGAGGCATACAGAGCAAGATAAAAAGGGGATTAAAAAGGTACGACAAAGACCAAACTTTACCTGCAGACCAGCTAGATAAATGAAAGATTTATCTGAGAATTGGACACCAAATACCCTAATTTTCGTCGATACCGGAATGTCCAAGTAAAAGGGTATGAATGATGCGAATATAAGACCATAAGGTCCAGGAGTAAATTTTAAGGAGGTATCTGCGAGGAAAAACGGGAATAAATACTTCAACCAAAATTGACAGCAACATAACGTCAGATATCGCAACTTCTTCCAAATTTAAAAAATAATGGCCCATGAATGCAACTGTCTAAAAGTAACATGAGTAAAAATCCAGTGTTGCATATTAATTCTCAGAAGATGGTTAGAGAATTAATAATAACAGCTTTAGCACTTTAAACAAGAAATGGGTAGCAGCACTGCCCTGAAACCTCTTCAAGAGAATGAGGCCTTTAACATGTCATCACTCCAAAAGAATTCTTCTCTTATGCTCTTCAAACAACCTAATTCTTCAAGCAGCATTTTTCAGATTACATTTTCATCGATCAAAAGTGCGCACATGATTTCATTGTCTAAATCCGTCAAGTCCAGAATATGCCAGTACATAACGTTTAAAGTTCTCTATGTAATGAATCAAAGTCATTTCTGAAAACAACAATAGTTTCAAAGTAAAATTGACTTCTGAGTAATATATCTTTAAGCATCAGAAAAAATTGTGTTACATGCAATATTTCATGACATCTCTGTTATTTAACTAAATTATCTTCTTCAAAAATAAAAAAATAAAAAAGCACTAGCGGATCATGATTCATCCCAATCAAGAGTATAAGTGGATTCTTTTTGGCCGACCAAGAGCATAAGCCGATAAAACTCCTAAGAAATGAGAAAAAGAATGACAATCAGTTCCAATTAAAGGCTTCAAACATTATCTTTTGAAAATTGGAATTGAAAGCACCTGTTAAATGAAGAATATGCATAAAAGAGCACTTAATATTAAAGTACCAAAAACTTTAGTACATAATAGTTTTCTCTCACCCAGCAAAGTGCCAAAAGTAATGTTCTTTGCTCATTCTTCCAAACATCTATAAGCACCTTAAATGCCTGGGGGATGAAGCAGACTAAAAAGAATATTGGAAGAAATATTGACCTTGATATTTTTTGGTGCATACCTTTAAGGAGTGCAAGTGCAAGCACTTCACATAAAATCGATGTTATGGAGGAGAACAAGATAAAGACCTACAATACGACGGGGTAAATGTAAGACATCTACTTGATGACACACGTACAGTAGTCAAGGTCATCGAAGTTAGCAAATCTTGGCAGAAGTGTCCATGCCAGTATTCTACCAACAAAAAGAAAGGAACTTGTCTTCTACGACTTAAGCCTTCCAAAACACTATACCTTCCGAAAGTAAGTAAGATATTCAAAAAGCATATTTCTATTCATTTTTCCCTCCCATAACTCACTAACGTTGTGATTCCAATAAGCCTACCACACTCTTCACAAAACAGTATAATTGCAACAACAATGCAAAGCTCAATGGTCTAACTTTCCTCTTACAAGAGAGGAGTTGTCTTGTGTTGTCTTCTACAAGCACTCTCTTTTCTCTTTGTTTATTGTCCACTTCTTAGAAAGATATTACCTCAGTGGGAGGCATTACACCATATTAGCACAAAATTAGAGTCTTTCTCTAACTATAGCAAAAATGACTACTCAATGAAATTCAAGAAGAAAGCACATGGACAAGAAAAAAAGGCAAGCCAATTTTATGAATTGGACAGGCACTTCATTTCCTCTCTTAATAGAGCATGTCCTCAAAACTTTATTTTTTTCTTTAGTTGAATGCGATGTACTTAATTGAAGGTCATGAATGTGTCATACTACATCTCAAAGTGCACTTTTTGTAAGTTGCTTAGATTTTCATAATGTACGTATGAAATGAGATATCTGTTTCAACTTTCCTGCTAACCTTCAGCAGAAAACAGACACGTAACATACTTTTCACGAGGACAAAAATCAAGCAAAGGTGACTCACCGAGTACTTATTGGAACCAATTTGTCTTTCAAAAACCCGAAAGTAGTATAGCATGTAGAGCCCGAACATTAGCTCCGGTGTAGATGAGAAGGCGAATGCCGACTCTACTATCTTCCAGAAATTAGCTTTTTGGTATACATCCTGCCATCGAGATGAGAAAAGAAAAAAGAAAAAAATTTAAAGCAAGCAACACCCTATGCTATTAGTACAAGCAGTATTAACATCTAATATGCAAACAGTAAGTCCCTTTCCTAGGCAAAGTTCCCATCAACTAAAATGGAAGACAGACAGCCCCAATATAAGCATAAAGTCGCCAATTCAACTAGAATGCTCATTATAAATACAGTCATACTGCTATTCAACATCCGATCCTGCTTCAAACTAAGCAAAATCATGTGAATGATCAGCAAAACACCAGCTTTCTGACATCAACTGGTGTTACAGGAGAATTAAAAACTCAATTGAACGAAATGCAAAATTATAAAAACGGGCAGAAAGAACCACTCAAATCGAGACGTAGGAGAGAGAAAAAAACAAAACTTGAGGCACCTGGTAAGACAATCCGAGCTTGTGCGCACGACCCTGGATGCCGGAGAAGACGGTGAAGATCGCGGAAGCAACGATGAATGGTCTGGTGACCGGAGCATTATCTACAACAAACGAAAACGGAACACCCAGATCACGTGCTCCGATCGACGGATTACAATCGCGTGCGCCACAACACGCAAAAAGCAGAGAGATGCTAGAGAAGGTGCGTACTGAAACCAGAGGGGCCGCCATTCATCTTCCCGGCGGTGGTCGGCGCGCTTCGGCGGGGCGTTCTGTTCGGATCAGTTCTCTTCCCCGGCGCCGCCTCCGTCGATGAGCATTGACGGGAGCGCGCTTCGTTCTCGATGCGTTCGCGAGCGGCGATGTACAGAGACTCGCTCGAGAAAAGCGAAGAAAGGAAGGAAGGAAGGAAGAAAGAAAGAAATTGGACTTACTAGCGCTCAACGCGAGAAAACGAATTCATTGGAATTCCCAAGTAGGAAAAACATCAGACATACCTTTTTTTTCTTTTTTTAATGAAACATTATAGTATCGGATAATGTTTGGGACATCACCTAAATTGATCTGTCCATGGCTGTGTGTGATATCTGATTCGAATATCAGATTTGTCGCATTTCAGAACATTCATAGTATACTTTCAATCTTTTGTAGCGATCTTTTTTTTCTTTTCTCTCGCGCACGAATGTATTGATGGCGAAAGCAATGAATTTTGTTCTTTTTCGGTTTCATGGGATACGGAAAAAATGATTCTTGGAAAAGATTTTAGCACCCTTATTCTAGTTCCGAGTGAATTTGTTGTCCCATCACTATGGTTCTCCTAATGGCTACTAGAAAGATCTCATGTATTGATGGCAAAAGCAAGTTCTTTTTCGGTTCAATGGGAAGCGGAAAAAATTGATTCTTGGCAAAGATTTTAGCACCCTTCTTCTAGTTCTGAGTGAATTTGTTGTCCCATTACTATGGTTACTCCTAATGGCTACTAGAAAGACCATAAAAAAACGCAAATTGATCATCATGGTGTAAAGGAAAATGCTGGCCTGAAACTAGGATTAGGCCCAAGGCCCCTCAAAGAAGAGCAAAAGACCCAATGAATCAACATTTAATCCGGGGCAACAGAAAGCACCAAAAGATGGACGCATTTGTCCATGTACAGTGCATGTTTTGGTGAATGAATTCTCTGCCTTGGAGACGGATGCCACTCTCATCTAGTAGTGACACAAGCTTTCTTTTCTTGGCCATTTCCTATCAGTGTCTGATCGCGCGGGCAAATTGCGGCGAATTCTGTGATTAACGGCATCCATCGACTTTGAGACGATCGCGAGTCTGTAAACAGGGCCGAAATGAAATCTTCCTTCGACTGTCATCTGCGATGAGCTTGGGAGCTGGATATTCCGCTAAGCGTGTTCAGACGTACCAGCAATACCATCATTTCTGGTGTTTAATATCCACAATTGTAAGTCCTAATGTTATAATGATAACTGCATATGTCAAAGGCATTTCTGTTTGATAGAGATTTCAGTGAATGTAAATGCACCGAAAGATGCACCTGAAAAGACCAGGATGCTTTTCAGCTCAATTGATACAGATATGTACTGAATCAGCAACCCTGGATTACAAATGGGAGTTTTCCTTCAACAAATCATTTACATCCCCTAGCTCAAATGCTAGACATGGACATTCGTCGTACGAGGCCTCTACACATTAAAGAAAAATGAAGCCCGATGTCCATCTTCTCACCCTAGAAATCCTAGGCTCGAAAAACCAATCATGTTTCGGACTGGTCGAGTCGAGCAAAAAGGTAGAGATGGTCTATGTACAGAGTTGTCGAGTGCAAGGATGCATTGCTGCTAAGGACTATTCCATTACATGAGATGGCCGGAGCTTCTTCCACATTGAGACTTCCTCGTTCGTGTAAAGCTTTCTAACCCCTCCATAAAAGCCATTACCTTCGGTTCCAGCTTCTCGGTGTTCCTTTCGGTTTATGACCGTTCTTCTCCATCTCGAGTCAGCTGGGTACTGGTTGAACTCTAACATCACATTATCTGCGAAAAGGGCTTTATCGTGAGATTCCAGTAGCATTACATGTCAAGCACTGACTCAAGTTGTGGGGAAACCCTATAATTAAGGGGATAATGAAGAATGTGGGAGCCTGATTAATGCTTTTCCTAGAAAGGAGGTCTAATACTAACTTCAGCCTGGAGATCTTGACCATCTTTTTGCTCAATTTTCAGAATGTAGCAACATCAGTAATCATCTGTATCATAAATAAAAGCCGAAATCTGGCCTGGTTTCTCACCACTATAATGGCATCGGCAATGATCTTCATTTCCGTCACAGGACTCCTGATGGCCAACAATACCATACCACCAACCTGCAAACCACATTGAATAGATCATATCAATCGACAATCGACAAAAGGTGAATTTCGTTAAGCGCATGAATATGGTATTGCCGAATTAAGGGGGGGAGTAAAAATTTAAGTCCATCATGCAGGCGCTCACCATAGGGAAACTCTTTGGATTTTCTCCATTGGATTTCGATATGGTCGCCAGGTCTCAGGTCATTTAGACAATCTGAGTTATGAAGCTCGTGCGGTGGAGTATTAATAGGGGGTGCTCTGAGTCTATCCCACGGTATGTTCTCTTCCACCGTTCGCCGTCCATGTGACAAATACCTGTAACGAAAATCAACATATTACATTTTTAGGATTTAGGAATAAAAGATGCGATCCAGTATTTAGAAAGCAAAATGCAATTTTCCTAATCAATTTTTCTGATAATATAGAATCCCTTTCAAAATTATTAACCAGATGAGATGATTTCCAAGTGGGTATCTATATCACCAGGGCATAGGATGCAGAGCACGAGTTGATTAATAGGAGATTGGGAGATCATAGATCTGAGCTCAGAAAAGTGGAGTTTGTCTACTTGGTGAAGCAGATACCCAAAAAAGAATAGGAAAGAAACCTGTTGTCTTAAAGATTCTTGTGTTCCAGAATGGAAAGAAAGAAAGATTGAAGAAGTTCCATAGGAGGTCACTGTCTGCATACCTTGCCTGAAAAGTGTCTGTCTGAGAATCATAGCTGACATGAGCATCGTAGCATGAAAGCATGAACCCAGAATGCCCATTCTGCAATCCAGAAAAGCAATGAAATTCAATATACAATTCCACATTTTCAGGAGAAGAAAGTGCAGTTCATTTGAAACCAATCAAGACAGCTCAGAAGTAATTGAGCCACCTGAGCAGTGAGTTTCAATTTCCTAAACCAGAAATTAGAAGAAAAAATATGATCAAAACCAAGTTTACCTCGCGATTGTACACCTGAGCTGGGAACCAAAACTTGCCATTCTCAAGTGACAGATACAAACCCATGATGGAATCAACAGGAAAAGCACCTCTTGGTTCATTAGTGCCACATTCCAAATTTGGCCTCATCCAAGTAAAGGGCCAAACCCTAAAAAGCAAATCTTTCTTGAACCCTTTTCTCCTGTCCAGGCCATAGAGGCTAGGCCTCTTTCTTGAGGCGAGCTGGCATTGCCACTCTCTTGTAGCAGCATCACCAATCAATCTGTTCCATTTTTGCTTCATGTGTTTTTCCCACAGATGGTCACTCCTGCACTTTTCCCTCATTGAGCTACAAACCTCAGCCATACTACACAGCCCAGCCGGTGAGAGCCTCTCCAGTATGCAGTCCAAGGTCAGTTCAGGCAAGTCCAACAGGGAAGCCTTTTCCTCCCCAGGAAAGTCTTGAACTTGAGATGGACCAGTCGTCATCTTCTTGAGTGGCTTCATCATGAGGACCTGGTTCAGCTTGATTCTGTGAAAGAAAGACATGAGGAAGCTTGAAAACTGTCCCCAAGACAAGAAGGGAGACAATAGGGTCAACTGGTTTCTCATGGGCAAGAGTGGCTTGCAAGACATGGATCTAGAGATTAGGATGAATGAGAAGCATGAGACAAAGAACAGAAGCATCTGAAAGTTGTGGAAATGGCTAAAGTTGCAGGGTAGGCATGAACTGAAGCTGAAACAGATGGAAGCAATGGGATTTATTTATACTATGTAAAGGATCGACGGAAAAGTATGATGAGCAAGTCCTGTTTTGTATGGTGACAAAAAAAGATGGGCCAAGGTCTGCGTTCATTGGCAAAATCGAGGTTGTGGTGGAGTGAGAACGAGGGCTTTGATAACAACCCAAGGGACATGCACAGGACACTGCAACCGACAAGGTTTGATTGCTGGGTGGTTAGAATACCACAGAAAAACAGAGAAAAGGGGAGCCAACAAGGAGGAACAAAGCAATGCTTTCTTTCTCAGACTGGTTTGAGATATGAGGCACACGCATATGCGATTATATCCATTGCATCCAATACACCGAATTTAATTCCTCCCTACCGGTTATGGTCCAAACTGTGAGGAGTTTGAGGGGACACCTGTCGGTTCATGATGCGCTCGGAGAGAGAAAGAAGAGTAATGTTGAACAATACCAATAGATAAAAATGATGTAATAAACAGCAAACATATTTTAAACAAGAAAGTCATTCAATATTCAAATCGCAGTACTTCACATTATAAATTAAGTTTCACAGATTCATATCAATAAACTTAGCATTATTAAAGGCAAAAGTATTATGAGAATGGAATCCAAAGATCAGCTTCTGTCAGATTGCACTTGTGAGATCCCAACAGAGCCACCGTGAAGAATGGAGTGAACATGTGTATAGACCCCACCTCAAAATATGAGAGCTTTCTATGGAAAAACAAATGTTCTTGAATGAGAGAGAGAGAGAGAGAGAGAGAGAGAGAGAGAGAGAGAGAGAGAGAGAGAGCACTAGTCAAGGTTTACAAGACTTGAGTGGGGAAAAGAAATTGGGCCTTAGATCTTTTTTCTTTCCCATCAACAGGGAAATGCCTGTGAATTGCCGTTGTTAATGATATGTTCGATAGTTTCAATGTTTGCTCTCACCAAGCTAGAGAAATGGAGCAGGAACAAAATGGCAATGAACAAGAAGTGGGTCCTTCTCAATTCATGACAACCCATGATTTTTCAAAACACACTCACTCCAAAGCAAAAGGAAAGGACAGCTATCTGATTGATGGGCTTTTGGGGGTTTAAAGCACTGAAGGGGACCTGTCTTTAAATTTTCTTTAGGTGGGGGTCAAAAGCGATCTGTCACAACGCCATAAAAACACCACCTGATCTTTGGCCTAACTTCCACCAAACTCCAACACCACTTGTCCTTATTCTTTACCACAACCATGAAAGTTGCCCCCTTTTCCAATCACCCCCACCAATGTAAAAATGGGATTGTGACATCTTCTCAAATCTTGTGTCCAAGCATGCCATTGGTCATCACAAAATATATTGGGAACTCCCCTCTGTTTGGCCTCGTTTCATATGATGTTTCCTATGTTATCCTAAGTTGTTTCCTTCAACCACCGGGACCAGCTTATGAATCCACTTCAATCCCTTTTCTTGTTTACTTTCTTTTTCTTCGGATTAAATAGAGACCCATGATCTCTTTCATGGGGGACAGAAGCCTTTATGGACAGAGCCACAATTACCGTTTGGTTCAACTTTTCTTTGCATCTCCCTTTGTCCTCCTCAACTTTTGCCCTTCTCTCTCTTACCTTTTTTCTCACATTATCATGGGCTTTTGTCCCTCAATTATTATTAGTCAAGAAGGATGTGATGAACAGAGAGGATAATGAGGATGCATAATTAACTAATTAATGACCATACACGACGCTTGAATGTTGAAAGAATGAGGACGCATCTTGCATTATGCTTGTGGATATTCCCAAGTCTAATGACAAATAGCACCTTGCCAAATGAATAGTGTCACAGCCAATCGACGTGGTTAACGAAGCTAAGCGACTGATCGGTTAATGGTTATCCACTTCCGCATAGATTGGTTGAAATGAAATCGCTCCGATGAAAAGTTCACGTGAACCGAAAGCCGAACGAGATAAAACTTAAATGGGAAGGATTAGTTTTTATGGTTGTGATATCACATGGAAAGATCCTTTCGGTTTCCCATTCCCACAAGACAAGGTGTCTCTCCCTTCGAATAGTTTGTCAAGTCCTATTCACCAATGATGCTCTTAAAAGATGTTTAGTTGAACTACACAACGTCGGTATTATTGATAATCATGTACCTACAATGGGCCACTTCATCACCCACCAATAATAAAGGATCTTAGATTATACAGTTGGCCAACCTTGTTGGTTTATCGAATGGTTTTTAAGTAAAGAGACACAATAGTTGGATGTGGTTGCCTAATTTTATGTACATTTTCACTTGGAAATCAGAGTTTTGGTCAGTCTCTCCAGCCTCTTCCCACGACAGGGCATGGAGGGAAAATTTAACACGGGAAGGAGAAACAAATAACTGCATGCGCACGCGAATTGGGAACTCCTTTTACAATACGAAGGTAGGTAGATCGATTTCATGGTTTCTCACAGATACATCTCACAAAAGAACATTCATTCTTGTGCACCCAGCTCGTCATAGACCTCGGAAAAATCGTGACCCCGTAGCACCTATCTTAACCACCGTTCTGGTATAGGTAGCACTCGTCGATAAATCGGTAAATATGATTATTTTATCCTACAAAAAGTCGAAACCCAAATTGGAAATCATTTCGATTGATCCTAGAATTCACGCATCGACGGGGACAAACTAACTTCTTTAGAATTTTCGGTGAATCCTTTTCATGTACTCTTTCTTTCTTTTCTGGTATGCGATTGGTAAATCTTTTTTAGCTCCCAAACTAAATATGCAAATTTCGATAACCCATGGTTATCTTACTCTTAGAGAATGAACTTTAAAGTACTATTTTCTTGGAATAAGTGGGTGGGCGGTTGGATGAGAAAAGGGCCATGTGATTTGCCTATGATTCCTACGTGTTTGTTGTTTACAAAGAGGAAAACCTTCATAGGATCCATCAAATCATAGCCATAAAACAATTGCGTGAACCAGATCTAGAGACAATGGCCTGTGGTCGACCAAATGTACTCGAATTTATGCGATTCCCTCGGCTTGTGCACGTGGTATCAAAGTTCCATGCCTAGATATTCGGCAATAATGCTTGACGTGCCGAAATTAACTTCCTATAATATTCGTTGAATGGAAAGGGTTATCGATGTATTCGGGATCTAATCATGCCGAGAATTACCTTTCGTGCAGTACCCTTCTTCCTCTTGCTAACTATTCATGCCTTAGCCCATCTGGCTGTTATCGATCGCACTGCTCAATTGTCTAAGAAGAGATAAGATCATCCGAGATTTGTCTTGAAATCGAAATGACCCACGATTCAAGTTTGGTTCTAATTTAAGGCCATTGGTTGAGCTTTCCGATTGAGGCCGGTTGGCGCGTCCACATCGGGCTGCCAAATGGCTAAGAAAATGCGAAATTGACCCGCAAAAGAGGCGAAAAGAGCATATTGCAAAATGAGTGGGATTGGAATTGAAAATCTGGGACCCTCTACTACTAATCTCCACTCTTCACAATAGTCTAGAAGCATAAAAGGGTCTTTAGAACTTAAGACACCTAGCACAAGCTACATCGCTTTCAAATTTTGCTTTGTGTTATTCAATTGGGTGGTGTGTGTGGTGTATGATGATACGCGACACCCATGAAACAATTGATGGAATCCAGATCTTGCCCAAAAGTGTTGAGAGAATATCATCCAAATCTTTTGATTCACTGCTTGGTGTAGTGGCAAATTTGCTGATTTAACAACTCCTTGGCTCATCTCATGTGTATACAATAATACATGAAGGATCTTCCACTGTTTGGGCAGAAAGGAATGGGAACCGTATCCGGGGTATTATCAACACACGGGCCCGAATAAGAAGAAAAAGTTATCCAATCAGTCATAAACCTATTATACGAACGCTAATACAGTCCTGAACTTTATAATTTTGCCAATTTAGTCCTAACCTTTTACGCGAAATTCCAATGTAGTCCTTTTGACCAATTTTCGTCTAAAACCGCTAACGTGGCGGTGTGCTGCGTAGGACGACCGACGATGGCTAGAACGCGCAAAATCGGCCAGGAGGGCTGCATTGGAATTTCGCGCAAAGGTTTAATACTAAATTGGCAAAATCGAAAAGTTTTAGGAACGGTTTAGCATTTGTTTAATAGGTTTTGGGACTGATTGGGTAATTTTCTCCCTTGAATGAGAGACAAGCACGAGTTAGCTCTCGAACAAAACCGGTCCATGTAGCATTTTTTTTTTATGGCTGAGACAAATTAGGGTCTGATGAATGTTATGGGGCCTCTTGCCTAGCTTGCATTGCCTGTACTATAGGGGACTGATGCATTAATCGACCGGCCAGGTTCTCAGTATCAGATGGGGATTGTGGGCTCTCTTGTAGTGCTTGGACAGACCGTGGTCCACGGTCGATGTTCAGTATTGGTCTAAGCTCGATCGGTCAACCACCCGACAACTTTTCCTTTATTGAACCGAAAAATCTATAAGGAGAGGGGGCAATGAAAACTTTTGAAGTTGATTGACGCAAAAGGCATGCGAAATTCGGAGTGAGATTAACAATTTTACGAATGTATAATTGCCTTAGAAATGCAAAGAATACCGACCGGATTGCATGGCACGATAGCAATGCGACTCGTGCCTATTGCTGGTAATTCATGGCCTGAACAATCGACGCGGTCGTATCATGTAAAAGAAATCGAAGAAAATAACGGACACAATCGCATGCATCGTGGGTGTTTCTGTATAAGCATATTTGCCTACACATCATGAGCAAGTTTGATTTAGACCGTGTTACGGAATGAGCGCTCGTCGATGTCATCGATAGTCATGTGGCATGGCCTCTAAAGCAACAACGATGTATATATATATAGCGTCACTCGACATCTATATATTCCAATGGTCCTTGAAAATGAAATGTGTCTTAAAGAAAACGATTTGCTATGAAAAAGAAATCACGCAAGTATTAAATTGCATTAGTTTGGAATGGAACATAACGAAATGGAAAGAACATTCCTCTTCCTATGATCTTTCCCCGACATTTCTTTTCCTACGTTTGATGCTTGCCTTCCACGAAGAACGTCCATTTCATTTGTAAGAAAAGTCGTCTTGGACGTTGAGGGGCAACTAATGCAGCCTACTTCCTCCGAAATTTCAATGAGAGTTACGTGACCTGTCGCGGAGCGTTGGAATGTAGGATTGCGAAATGGGTCGTTACTCAACCACACCGGGACCCATTACTTCGAGGTAGGGGTGCCAATGGGTCGGGTCGGGTCGAGTTTTCATGATACCCGACCCGACCCGAAACAATGAATATATGTGTTTGGCCCGACCCGAAACAAGACCCGAACATGATATAGTCGCACAATCGGGTTGTGTTCGGGTCGGGTCGGTTCGGGTCGGGTTCATGTTTAGAGGTTTACTAATCATTTCTTGCGGTCGATTCATTTTCTCGAAGTTCGAGGTACACGAGCCTCGTTACCATAGCTGCA